CCCACACCCACACCCACACCCACACCCACACCCCCACCCACACCCACACCCACACCCTGCTTGGCAGCCCTGTCAATAACAGCCAATAAACATATTTTTACACCTTCTTTATTTATGTTGGTTCAAATCAAATAATCGTATTGATTGATTGCATCAAGATTTTTACATTGATTATTGCAAGTTTAGGCCCATGAAGTTTTTGAACTGATATAAGTAATTCTTATTTTTGGTAGTTCTAATACCATAAGTATTTCAGATCTTTTATATGAGGGAACACCTTCAGTCAATCATGGATATATGTTGAAAAAGAATCATTCAAGATGAATTTTCTTGCAAAGAAAAAGAAACTTTAGAACAGTTTCTTATTGTATACTGTACCAACCGAGTAAAATAGATTGGTATTTAACATATTCAGTTTAAAATCATTATTGATGTTCGAGTGAATTATTGTTTCAGAAGTGAAACGCATTTTTTTCATTTCGTTTAGCTGCACTTTTTTGCATGACATATCTTCAACAATTAAAAGCTGTTTAAAAAAAATCTACTAATCCTATTTCTTTCAATTATGAATTTATTTAAAGATAATCTCTGGAAATTTAGTATTGATGCATTATTGTAAGAGTTAGAAAGGTTAGTAAGTAAGTTAATTGTAAAATAGTTTTCTTGAATAATGTCTATGTCGATAAAAGATAGTTTATTGTTCATCGTAGTTTTCTAAGACGCTTTTGGTGTCGTACGACTGAAGCAACCTGATTTGGATTAAACATCTTGCTCAATTGTGTGAACATAGCAAACATGCCGATTGCATGCAGAGGAATTAGAGCGGCGGCTGTAGCCACCGTCATTATAGTCACAGGTTGTTTACATGCTTCTTCCTATAAATAAAATCAGTTTAAGAAAAAAAGATATCAACATTAGAAATGAAATGAAAAGGTGTACAAAAGCTTTTGCATCCATGATTGACACATCAGGAACTGCAGAAGTTGTTGTTGCTGTAGTAGTGGTTGTAGCACCACAAATATATGGATTCATTGCTATATGATTTATTAAATCAAATAGTCAAATATTACTGGATGTAGTAGTTGAAGTTGTCGTAGATTCAGTAGTAGTTGTGATTGTAACAGTAGTAGTAGAAGTAACATGAAGACCAGTAGTTGTTAACTTTAAAAAAGAGATATTATATGTTAGCATATGATTACCTATGAGATAAAATTTCTTAGAATTCGTTGTGTTCACACATAGGTTTCATAGTCACTGGTACACTCCTTAACGTCTATTGATTTACAGAAACTTCTCAAAGAAAAACTCGATTCTTTCAACAGATTTTTATCACAATGGGACAGCAATCATTATTCTGATTGAAACTGGCAGGGAATACAGTTAATTATTAAGGTTGTATTAGGAGAAATCCAACGAAAAAAAGTTATGTTTTTGATATGGCATCCTCTTCTATAATAACCAAAAAGCGTATTAAAAATTGATGTCCGAAATTGGTGAAACATTTTGAGGTGTCCTTTCGCTAAAAATAAGTTATAGAGTTCTACCAATGTATTAACAGTCGTTGTTGATAATGGTCGAGTTGTTACAGTTCCTGTTGTTGGAGGCGTGGTAGTAGTTGTGGTTGTGCTTGATACACCGGGATCCCATATATTGAAAGCCCAAAATGTTGAATCAGTTATTGGAGCTGATTCAGGCCCTTTATATATGAAAAATTCAAAAATCGTCACATCTGAGAAGCTATATATGAAAAAAAAAGGAAGAACGTACCACAAAATTCGATTCCACTCGCTACTCCTGGAAAAAGATAAAATTACCGTATGAAAAAAAGTTTTCAGCTATATATATTTGTATATTTACCACTATCAAAAAGAACATAATAACGACGTCCTGGAATCCACGTATAATTCGTTATGATAATGATTGTATTTCCAGTATACAATATATTTGATTGCCATCCAGCATCAAATGTTTGTACTGCTGTGTTAGTTGTAGCGTCCATAAACTTTATGTAGGTTCCATTTCGAGTTGGACGATGAACATCACGAGTTGCTATAAATAGATAAACAAGACTTTTTTCCTCCATCCTATACATAGTTTATGACTAATAATACTATGATTCTTGTCCAATGACAAATTTTTTATTACAAGCAATAGGAATCTGTTGAAGAAAAAAAAAATTTTTTTTAATATTTGCCTTGTATAGAAAATATTGAGTGATTCGAAAATATAGTTCCAATTGGTGAAGCAGTGCCTAGAACAACTGTTGTTCGGATAAGATTCGGTGGGTCAAATCCTACTAAATAGGTGATACACCAAGCATCTGATTGTAAATTATTGGTATCAACAGCACCAGCACAAAAACCTTGTGGACCATATTGGTTATCCGTTGGAGTCCAAGTAAGTGTCATAACATAAAGTCCTAAAAAGAAAAATTTGTTGTTAATTGTTTAGCAATATGAAAGACTGCAGAACGTACCACTTCCTTGACTGACAACCGTACTATGTTGCATTCCAATAGGTGAACTTGTTACATAATTACTAATAGTCGCTCCACTACAGAAAGATTGTGCAATGACCCGTTCAGTAAGTGTTACGTCTAGTTTAACAAAATAATTAATATTGCTAAATGATTAAAATTGTCTGATGATTTTCATTAATATCTATCTCAAATTTTACTTTCAGGCTAAAAATTAAAGATTTATTATATCGTTCTCTTTATAATTATGTAATACATTTCATTCCATGCTAGTATCTTTATCATATATGCTGAAAAGAAGGATTTCTACAAGCTTTTATGTGTTCTGAAGAATACCATAAACATTCAAGATTTTAAAAAGCGTTCCAGTAAAAAGACGAACTTTTCTTGAATGAATTTGACGGTCTGATTGAGAATCTGTTTCTTCGGCTGTGACTACTGACCTTCGAATAACACTGATTTAATTCTATGAGAGTTTTGCATTAGATTCAATATCAAGTCGCACAAAAAAATGTTGTTTTTCTTAATCAAATATGTGTCTTTCAGACATACTCATTTAATATATTATTTGAAAGTTACTAAATATGAACGAAGATATTTAAAGCTATACAATATCAAATGAAATTTTTGCATCTGTATAGGTAAAAACAATCATTTCATGAAGAGAATGCTTGAATGTATAGTTGAAAGAAAATAACAATTCTCTTACTATACATCTTAATTATCTCATTCAGTTCTTGAAAACAGTCTATTATTGTTGAAGAATAAAACTACTATGTATCCTTCAGTGGTACCCATCAATCACATCGAAAAGATATTAAAGCTTAGACGATAACATGTGATTTACATATTTATTAAATTCTTTGGTGACCTATTATTCTGAAACTACTGTTAGAAGTGTTAATAGAATTAGAATTCAACTTACTGATTGGTGTTCCAATACAAGCTAAAATGAAAATATTCAATTAAATATTTGTATGCTATCCAACTTTAGTTATAAATGATTTCAGTTTTGTTATTTTTCACTGAAGAAGTATCAAGAATTTGTTCGAAATATGACTTTGAAGGTAAATTAAATCTGTTTTCAAAATCTATAAGAAAAAAGTCATACCACGATTTGGTCGTTCACCGATAATTTGTAGTCTCGTTGTACAACTACTAGATGCTGAATAGGCATAAAAAAGAAATTGGATAGGTACAGAACTCATTGGAGCAGTGGCCGACGAGTCATAGTAATCTTCAATTTGCAATGCGATAACATAATACCATCCAATACGAGTAGTAGGTAATGTAAACACCAACGTACAATTTCCTTCGTAAAGTGTCGAAATCCCATTCAAACCAGCACAAGCGTCTTCACATTCATCTCTACGATTGTAATTTGTGCCTGAATTTGAATTTGACCAACGACATTTGAGAATATCAGTGCCATCATTATCCGACATCTATACATGTCAATAAAAGATATAGGTTACTTTTAACAGCTGCTACAAATATGGAAGCACAAAATATCGATATCAATATATCTTTAAAGAATATGGTCTACAAGGACATTGCCTACTTTTTTTTTCGAAATGCATATATCGAAGAGATACAGAAACCATCATGTGGTGCTTATTTTTGACTTTTCTATCATCATGTCATGGATGATAATAAAGAGTTTAGTTTATTTGGACGCAATACTTAAACAAAACTTTAATTACCTGTACAATATGTATTAACTGCTGTCCCACAGGTTTGAAAAGAACAGGTAATGTATTGGTTACTGGACTGCTATTTATATATCCATCGGGTCTTACTGCCAGATTTATTCGATTCATTACAGCCCAAGTGCCACCTGCTGCTGGATACAAATTTGGTCCAAACCACGCGCTGCTCGTATATCCGATTGTAATAGATGTTGTTAATGGTAATGTGAGTGTATCATAGCGTTCACCAGCCCATGATCGAACCAACAGATTTGTATCACAATCAGTGCTGGTCATAATTGTTGATATACCAGCTGAAGGGAACGTTGAACTGGAGCAGTTAACATAACAGTATACATAGTTATTAACAAGTATTGATGTTTTACTGATAACGTCATTTTCTGTACAAAGGCTGCTAAACGAGCCCCAGTTACGATTCCAAAAGTATCGTTGATGGATTTGAACTTGAACGGTAGAACCACTTGGTTGATTATCCAATGGACGCCTGAAAAATATCGAATTTCAGTGACTATCTCGAGATAACATTTGGTTTTGTTAGAAACGAGTGATAGGTTGGATACGGGCTATCTGAAGTTTTATCAATTTGTGTTGCAAGATATACCTTATATACATCACTTCTTTTCTCTATATGATACATGTTGTAGAAAGCAAAAAATATAATTTTTTTTTGTTCGTTTCGTCAGTTCGACCACCTCCCATCCTCGGTTGCTAGAATCTGACCAGTGATTAGAGAGAAAATTAAACGCCTCGATTCAAACCTTATACTCACTATTAAGTTTTACAAAAAAATGTACATCTAATGTTCAAAAATTAATTGAACAGATTTGATCTTTGGCAGACTCATTCTTAAAATTAGATATTGTTCGCTTTATTACTTCATTTCGATATTGATTTGTTAAGTTTTTAAATTAAATCGTAATTCATTTTAATTAAAATTTATCCTGATAATAAATCAAATTTAGTAGATTTCACTGTAACACGCATAATATTTAATTTCATCTTAAGCCTAAATTTGTGCCACTTTGAAAACAAACTGAATTCAGATCGGAACGAACATCCTATAAGTATATGTAGATCAGAGTTGGAACCTGTTCGACAAACCGATAACGGTTCGGCCGGACCGGTAAATACTGGAAATTCATTGGTTGAAATTTAAAAATAACTATCTTCATTTAGCTCTTTTTTTGTAAAAAAAAAATAATTTTTATAAGTTTTGCTATCAATACATATATAGAAAGTCTTTCGAAACTGTCGGCAATGCAAAAGTTTGTTCAATTTAGGATGAATATTGATTGTAATCATAAACGCACAAGTATGAAATCATACTTTTTTCAGCAGGGAGAGAAATTAACAATGGATTTTTTTTGTGTCTTGCTCTATTTCTCTGTCTCGTCCGTCTGTTTATCGTGCACCTGTTTTGACTCGATCACGTTTTCTCTCTAAGTGAAAAATAATCTTATTACAAATCATTTTTTCATTGTTTTCGAATATGATTGATCCTGATAATTTAAAATTGGAACAGACCGGTTGCAGAAGTCAACGGAACCAGTAGAGATCGGAATTTCACCGATTGAACATGTGATTCTAACCGGTCGGATCGGACTGGTTTACCATTTCCCAGCCGGTGCCAGCCCTGATGTAGATATATATGTATAGTTATACTTTGACTAATTATATATTCTCTGGTAGTATTTTCAACTTATTATGTTTGTTCATTTGCAGGTATTCAAAAATTAAAATTTTTTTACAGAAAGTGTTATGAAACTACAACAATAAGAAAGAATTTTCGAAAAAAATTCTTCAGTTGCCATTTAGGGCAACCGATTTTTGGACGACGGACAGCTGCGCTGCTGTTATAGATAAGTAATTTTTAGTTTTCATGCAATTTCTAATAGTGCTAGAGCTTTCCATTCTATGCATTGTGATGAATTTTTTTTTTATCAAAACAGTTTTTGTTCTGATAGATATAAACCGAAGATATTTATTAGTAAAACACCAACGACTGTCACAAAAACGGTTTTTTTGCAGCATTTTAACAAATGTTGATTTTTTAAAGTTTAATTCACGAAAACAAATTCTAACATAAAATCGAAGATCATATTAGGATTCCTTGTGCAGATGAGAAAAGGCAATGATTGAAAGAACATGCACGATATCAGCGAAGAGAGAACAAACTAAGATATGATGCTAGGAACGATTTTGAAATCGTAAAAATCAATAGAATTCAATAGACGTGAGCCAAATCGCTTTCTAAAATCTTTCTTGTAACACATTTCTTAGTCATTATGAAATTGAGAGTGAGAATCTTATCTTCATTTTCACCTAATTCTCACGAGCTTATACCAGGTAATCTGCTCTTCGTTAATCTCAGTGTAACTCTGGTATTGATTAGTGAGATTGGTATCAAATACAACATTGATAGATTATATTTGCCTATGTCATAATCATAAATTTTATTCCTAGTTAAGTCCATCTTCTAGAAGGAAATTGGACTCACACATGTTACGATTATAAATTTTTCAGATAATCATTGTTTAATAAATATCTGTCACAACTCGTATGTCAAATTGCATTCAAACAAAAGATTCTTAATTGATACATTAATGTCTCTTGCTTACCTTGTTGGTGAATCTGTTTGTCAAGGAAGAAAAGAAAAAGAAAACAAAAATAATATTTTAATATCAGACTCATCATGCTCATCGTCAAGTTCATCACCAAATTGTGCCTAAATTTTTCTTCATAATCTTTTTTTTATTTATCTTACTCTTGCTTTCTTCTGTCATTTTTTTTCCTTCTTATTCCTGCATCGTTTGACGTCATATTATATATTGTTTTTGTTCTATTGGAGCACCTTATAACTAAAAATTGATCTAATCATTTTCAAACATACCTCAAGTATATGCAAATAAAAATTTTTGGAAAATTTGTTTTATGAATACAATCAGAATGAAACGCTCTACAAATTCTGGAAATCTCCATCAAAACTAGGGATCATTTTTTTACAACGTTGTTCGGATTGTTTGAAAATACTCTTGATTGGAATTGGATCGCAGAAATTTCATTATGAAAAACAAAATGATTCATATCTACTAAACTACGTGACAAATGTCTCAGCTCATCAATAAAAACCCATTTTGGGAAATCGACAATTTTCAGAAATAAGTTCCAATTGTTCTTATTGCTTCAAATAACAATTACTTACCATGATATGATGCCACCACGAAAATGATCTGCATATGCTAAACCAAGGAATAGCAAAAGAATAAACAGAATAGTTTTATTCAAAAGCATTCTATAGCCTTTTGAAACAGGGCGGCTGAAGAACTGTACTATCTTCTATACGATTCAAAATAAATGAAATGTAAAAATGAAGAAATACATAGTTTACGTTGAGAATCAATATTTTGCAGCGAAGAAAAAACATATGTTAATTGAAATTTTTATTTTTCGAAGGCACTCAGCTTGCTTTAGAAGTTTTTTTACATTCACTTATTTTTCACAATTTTTTGTTGTCTTGACTATTAAAACGGACACTTCGCTTCTTCTCCATTTCTTATATGAAAGCTATTGCTTTTGCACTGCCAGATAAATTTTTATGCCATAGTCTTGTTTACTTAACTAATCGCTATGAAATATTAATAGTTAATGCGTGAAGTCTTTTTTTTCTTTCATTTCAAGAGAAAGCGATAATTGATGTACAATTGGACTGTTTACTTATTGAATGGATGCAAGGAACGACAACAGCTATACCCATACGCAAAAATATTTCTCTCCTCCATCAGTCGTTTTTCTTATAGAATATCTTTGATCTCACGTGAAAGCTAGTTACAAGGATGGCTTAAGTGCTTTATTGTAGTGTAGTGTGTAATTGGTGGTATTTTGCTTCAACAAATAATATATATCTTTCAACGTAATTGAGCAACAGTACAAATGAGTTGGTTGACAGAACACTTTATGGCAGGGTTACCTCTTTTTTTGATATTTTATAAATGTTTTACTAGTTTTACTTTATCTGTATTCGTAATAATTGACAATGTTGCATTCTCGAGAGAACTTCGAGCGGGCAATGACAACAGTTTACTGCCGGTCCAAAAAAATAATAATCCAGTCTTGAAATATTTTGTCAACCAACTCATTTGTAGTATTGCTCAATTACGTTGAAAGACGCATTTTCTTTATTGAAGCAAGATGTTATCAATTACATACTACCCCACAATAAAGTACTTAAGCCATCTTTGTACCTAGCCTTCACCTGAGACCAAAGACATTTTATATGAAAAACGACTGATCGAGGGGCGGGGGGCGGGGAGGCTTTTGTCCACAGGTGTAGTTTAGAAAACTTTAAGATTTCATTGTTAAGTTTTCTTGGCTCATGCCAATCATATATAATAGCACACTTTCTATTATATTAGATAGAGATCTAACAAACAAACTCATCTTTACTTGTTTATTTTAGGGGTGGGACTTTACCTTTACTTTACTAGTAAATAGTAAATAAAATATTTACTATTTACTTTAGTAAAGTAAATAAGGGTGTGGGTGTGAGTCTTCTTTGAATACATACCCACACCCACACCCACACCCACACTCACACCCACACCCACACCCACACCCACACCCACACCCACACCCACACCCACACTCATACCTACACCCACACCCACACCCACACCCACACCTACACCCACACCCACACCTACACCCACACCCACACCTACACCCACACCCACACCTACACCCACATCCACACCCACACCCTATTTCGATTCCAGTTAAGGATGTGTTCAGTTTCTCAGATATCAACTTAAGTTATTGAAAACAAGCGCAAGTTAATATATTCATCGATGCTACATGCCATTGTCTAGTCATGTTTAAATCATGAAGCAAATTTTATGCAAAAAACGTTGTTTTTTTTTCTAGAATAGATCTTTCTTGAGAGAAAAATCTAGAATGAAAAAGGAAGTAGTTTTTATCCTTGAATGTGTTTATGACTTTTCTCGATAACTTGTACATTTTTCAAACTATTCATATGTACTTTAAAATGATAATGTTGATCTCTTAATAATTGATATTCAATTAAATTGTCCAAAATAATTTCGGCTGAGCTTGTTTTTTCAATGGGTTATTAAGAATGATTTATTAAAAAAAAGAAAAGTAAAAGACTGTTCATCTATTTGTCTATATAATTTGTAATACTACAGAAGAAAAGTTATATTGTCGTATTGTAGACGAAAGTTACCAACTGTCAAAGAAGTCGCTAAGATCCTTATTTTTTTTGCACCTGAAAGATAATAGTTGATAAGAACAAAAGATGAATATTCAAAAATACCCTTCCACAAATTGTTGCTTGCTTATTTTCTGTTCGTTATTGAGATCAAACATGGCAAACATCTCTTTAGCGACTGTCTCTGGGACAAAATTGGTTACCGAGTCAGTAGCTTGGTATTTTTTCTCAAAAAGAAAAAAAAACAAATAATTCGGCGAGCATTACACTAAGAAAAAGAAGAATCTTACAGTTGTCTCCAAGAAGTCCATCATCTCGTCGTAACTAATTCGTCCATCGTTTGACGTATCTAGTCTAAAAATGAAAAAAAGAAAACTTGATTAATCATGTTTTTGGAGCTTGGCAAATGGAGAGAACAAGCTTTTTATTGTATTAGAAATTTCTCTTCCGTTTTCGTACTCTAATAGGTTTTTTTTTTCATTTAAATAGCGCTTTCTTATAGGCTATTTATTATGTCTAGATATTTGAAAGGAAACTTACATTTCGAACACAAGTTCGAGTCTACTATCCAAATCCTCTTTATTTCCCATGGCAATAATTAACACAAATTCACTGAAATCGATTGTACCATCACGATTCTTATCAAATACAGAAAACATCACACTAGAACATTATAAACGATTGTGATAAAATGTAACGAAATGTATTGACATACTGGGGTACATCAGTCTTTTCATCTTCTGATTCCATGAATGCTTTAGAACACTTAAGGAATTGGTTTTTATCCATCCTACCTGATGGACATTGGCGTTTGAAGTCCTACAGAGAAAAAAAAAAAAACATTTTTCTAAAGTCATGTCTTTGAAAGATATTTCACTGCTTACATCATATATATCTCGTATTTCTAAAGAGAGACACAGAAAAGTTTGAGATCATAATCATATCTCAATTCTACTTACCTTCTTCAGTTAAATTGCTACTGACTTTAAGTATAGCTATTTCTAATAAGAGAATACTTTTACCACATTAATTACAATAAATAAATAGAGTACCAAACCTTTATCAAGAAGTTCGTCAGATGCTCTCTTCGTGGATAGTGAGCTACCCACAATTTTGATGGACACAGTTGTTATTAAATGTAAAAAGTGAATATCTGAAAAACCAATTTGAAACTGAACGAATACTGTTACCTAGTATCTCAGTTATGCTGTTTAGATCATGTTGTATGTGTTGTTGTAATTATTTGTCTTGTTGAATAAAGTAATATTTACCGATCAATTGACAATATATATATAGAAAGAGAAAGAGAAGAAAAAGAAACTCGAAAATGGTCGATACGATCTTAGAATATTTGTGATGTGAAAATATGAGAAGAAAAGCGATGAATAGTACAAGTGAATGCGAAGGCACAACACAGAGAGAATCAACGGACGTCAAACTGTAGAATTATTTCTGCGACATACATTTTCAATCTCGCTCTTACTGGAACTAATTATAGTCAAAGAACAGAAAAAAAAACGAAATACATGTGCAAATTGCTGTGATCGATAATGAAAAAGGCATGCATATATGAGTATGTACTTCTTTCTTAAACAAATACAATACGATACGGAAAAAAAAAGAACTTTTGCACATTCTTTTTTTTTATTTTAAACAGGAATCATATAATGATGATTATTCGACTAGTTGGAGTGACAATTTTATGATAAATCTATTTTATAAATGAATGACAACGATCAAAAAGAATTGGTAAATTGTTAATAAAAATATACTTTGTTGTATTATAAGAAACCAAGCGACTATTGAATAGTGAAAGATATAAATTTTCTTTAATAAGATCTTTCATAAACATTGACAGTGTTCAAACTACACTATTATTATGTTTTATTTAATTGATTAGAATTCGGCATCTCGCATAAATATTTCTCTTGAAAACAATATAATTTATTTAGAAAACAAATGGAATCTAAATCAAATCGATATACTATTTTTGTTGTATCGTAGCTTTTACATTAAATTGATTTTTGATATGATTGTGTAAGATTTAATTATACCTGCAGAGTTGACTGTAGAAGTTCCATACTTTTTTCTGGAAAAGAACTAACGATATCCTTCAAATGGTAAATTGAATGACATTAGAAAGCACTTCAGCCATATGCAAACACTTCTTTCTGCTTATATTATTTCATTGCATATTCTTTATGAATTTCGTCTAGAAGAGATAGGACTTCAGTATATATTGAATAGACTCTTGAGAATTGTAAGACATATTGAAATAAATCAGTAATTAATAGCTGATTTCTTCTCATTAATTTATTCCTCAAAGATAAAAGCAATCTACTAATTTGTATTTTTAGTTGTCTAACTGATAATTGTACATTTGATCTGCTGAGTTAGAAATAAAATCAGTAGAAGATGGCATAATCGTTGACATTTTTTGTTCCTTCTAGCCTACACAATATCAAGTCTGATGTAGGAAAGAAAAGAGAACAATCAAACATAAGATGTTCGGTGACGTATTTGTCGCATTAATAGTTTGTGTAATAGTAGGGTGTGGATGTGTTGGTGTGTGAGTGATGAGAGACGAAAACCACACCCACGCTCTTCTACTGCAAAAAATATTTTCAATTCTGTCAAATGTAGCATCTCGATACAACAGGAAAAAAAAGTTTGAATCGTTTTTCAAGACCGTAATCCTGACATACCAGATGGATAGCAGTATTCAAGGACTTTGAGTCTGTGATTGGTTTTACTCTAATAATAAATATCGCGGATATTTCAAATTTTTCTACTGAATCTTTCTTTAGACACATCTAAGAGCTGAGGAATTAGTCTTACACGAATCTGATTTAAACAGTTGCATGTAATGAACACTTGGAATATTTTTCATGTGAAAATGGCATTAAATATGATACATGAAAAGATGTTTCATTTTTGTCTAGCTCTTCTAAAAAAGTGTTTGCATAGTTGTTCTGTTTACTTTCATCTTTATCTATATTCACCCTAGTTCAGTTAATTTTTCCTAATACTTCATTGAGAAAAAAGAGAATCTATTGTATCTGTCTTTGAAAGCATCTTTGTTTGAAACTTGTGAATTACTTGATTGACTTTGGTTGGCGGTATGAATGGCCTTGGCTAAAACAGCTTGCATATTGAGATAATCTGATGCACACTTCGATCGATACATTTTTAGTAACTTAGTCAAGTATGGAAGAGCGTCTGTGAATAAATTCATTTCTAGATGGATTAAGCCAATGTTGTGTAGTATATCAGCAACTTCGAGCTGATAGTTTTCTTCGTCGAATAAAAATTGTTGTTGAAGATCAAGAGTTCGAGTGTAGCGTATTCGACCTGTTTACATGCCACGCAAAAAATGCTGGGACATTCAAAAATAGTTTTGCTATATATCAATATGTCATTCAAATTAAACTTGACGAACATGGTGAATATGCTTATTGCTTAAGCTTTGATATTATGATGTATAAACGCAAAACTTGTTTTTTATGTAGACAAACAAAGAGAACAAATTGTCCAGCAGCGATTTATAATGTGAGCTAGATGCATCGAGCTTTGGCATCATTAGGAGTTCAATTCAAATGTGGCATTTCATATTGTAATTCTTTCGCTTTTAGAATACATTTTCCCTCAAAAATCGAGGACAATAATACATGGATTCTGCGCCATATCCTGTGAAACTTTCAGATCGATTTGTTGTAATCTTTCTGAGTTTTGACCAAGATAACTACTACGTTGAAGACCAACTGTAAGGGTGTGGGTGTGGCTGTGGCTGTGGCTGTGAATGTGGGTGTGGGGTGTGGGTGTGGGTGTATGGGGTGTGCGGTGTGGGTGTATGGGGTGTGCGGT